ATACTAAACATATATATGAAAACATATACAAAAACTGAAATACTATTAGGCTAGCACTTATTCTCTTTTGTTCAAATGGTGGCTCTGAAAAGAGCCGTTTGGTTTGACAGGTGAACAGCTTATCCACCGAATCCGTACAGGGTTCGGCCTTGTCTTTTCAAAGCGTAGACGACATCCATGGCGGTGACGGTCTTTCTCTTAGCATGCTCGGTGTATGTTACAGCATCACGGATGACATTTTCAAGGAATACTTTCAATACACCCCGGGTCTCTTCGTAGATGAGACCTGAGATACGCTTTACACCACCACGACGAGCAAGACGACGGATAGCTGGTTTGGTGATACCCTGGATATTATCACGCAAAACCTTACGATGACGCTTAGCGCCTCCTTTTCCAAGTCCTTTTCCTCCTTTACCACGTCCAGACATGTTGATTACTGTTAATATTCGAAGTTCGATCCGAAGTGTGATGTCGGCTAGAATTCGCTAAATTAATATAGCCTGGATACGGACGTAATATGAATTACCGAGTATTGTTTCCCAAGTCATGCACTGACCTTGGGCTTGGCATTGAATAGCGGGAGTTTTTAAAGAAGGTAGATTGCGCCAAATTCTAGACAGAGGTCTAATTATTTGCTTTTGTTTGTGTCCTTTGATATTTTGAAGCTACAGCTTTATGTTTAAACTATCTTGCTTTTCCTTTATGGAGCGAATTTTCCACTGCGTATAGTCTGTTGATTGATTCTTATTTGAAAGCTTATTAACCATCACTAGATAGCGCGGTACCTGTTCATGAAATTAGTAATATTTATTAAAATGTTGATTGCTATAAGTATATTAATATTAATCTATTGTTTTATAAACGCATATGAATATACTTCTTATCACCGCGATAACAGTTTCAATAAGTTGCACAATCATTTTAAAAAACCTTCGCCTCGAGCACTACTGCTGTAGATTTGTGCGCTTTATAAATTTTACTATTTTTGTTATTATTATTATTATTAAAACACAAATTTTTGGCTATTTAAAAAAAAAAATCCTAGACCCAACATTGTTTATCAGACCCAAAATTTACTACAGTTAGTTGATAATAATTTTTGGCTATTTGTACTTAGACAATTTTGTGGTTGTGCGGATAATTTTACGACCATGAGTTTAGGGGTGAGATCTAGGGAACAAAAAAATAATGCTGAAGTTAGAGAGTATGAATGTAAACCCACATTATATAACCATACAGAAAATAGAATAGTTCTATTTTCTCTATGATATAACTGTGGCTATACTACTTTTTCAATTCAATAATAATTTTATTCCAATATCAAACAATACAATTATCAGCAAAAGAAATACAAAGGTAGTGGATAAAGGAATAGGTTACAAAATAAGCAAGAAAATGCTTTAAATATGTAACCCTGCAAAAAAAAAAACATTAATTAATACATATAAACACAATATACAAAATTATAAAGAGTATAACATCAAGAAATAACAAAAAAAAATATATGGACCTATCATAGTTAACATTTATTTTTATGTTTTTCTATAAGATACTGAGACAATTGCTTTTTAAATTTGCTTATTGAGTCTAAATCTTTTAATTCATCATTTAAATTATTCCAATTTTTTCCCCTTGATAAGATATAGATTGTTGCCCTACGCTTGTGCGTTTTTTTTTTTTTTAGGGCAATGATATTTCGATTTCTAGTGCTATAGTTATGGAATGATAGGTTGTTAAATGATACTGGCATTAGATTCTTATAATATTGGTACATAAATATGGCACAGATTTTTTAAGTAAAGATCAAAAATATTTAATGTTTGAGTAATTATAAACAAAGGATGTGAAGGATGCAAGCGGTCAACATGACAGATATTTTTAATGCCTTTTTTTGGAGTATGTACAAACGATTTAAATTACTAGCAGACGTGGTACCCATGATGTAATTGCATAAGTTAATCTAGGAAGTATAAGTGCATTGTATATTGTTAACCTTATTTTACTTAATATTGGTTTGACTAATATAGCCCAAAACACCAAGGTAAATACAGTAGCATCCTTCTTCAAATGTTTATAGCACCTCACTTATGTTCTCCATTAAACATATCAGATATAAGCTGATGTTAAAGTCATGCTGTGTGAAGAGTCTAGTAATAAAATTAAACTTGCCTTTAACTGTAAGCTTTGTGTCAAAACATAATATGAAATGGAAATTAATAAATCATGTAGGCCCTAAGTCAAATTTATAAACGTGAAATGGAACATAATTTTATTGATTTGCATGACTTTAATACTATTTAAGCTACAAATCAATAATTTTGATGGAGTTGTAGAATTGTTAAGGAAAATCACTCTGGGTGTGTATGTGTATATGTATATACATTAGGAAAACCAAGCAAAGGAAATATTGGTATGCCACCAGATAATGTGAAATGGAATGTAAAGTACATAAAAATGCAAACCATAAGTACTATAGAATGCTCTTAAAAGATGTGTAATGGACTATATCCAATATATATTTAATTTAACGTAAAAAGCTATTGATCTCTTTCGTGGAAGTGGTGGCTCTGAAAAGAGCCGTTTGGTTTGAGAAATACACCGTCTACTTCTTAGATTTCTTTGGAGACTTGGTAGACTTCTTGGCTTTTGGCTTCTTTGCCTTGGCCTTTTTAGGAGACTTTGTCTTCTTTGGCTTGGCCGCTTTCTTCTCTGGCTTTTTTGCCTTCTTTGGTGACTTGGAAGCCTTCTTTGCTGGCTTCTTAGCCTTCTTGGCAGCTGGTTTCTTAGCTTTCTTTGTCGCTTTCTTTACAGCTTTCTTTTCTTTTTCTGCTGCTGCCTTCTTCTTAGCCTTTTCTTTTTTAGCCTTTGCAGCTGCATCTGCTTTGGCTGCAGCCTGGTTTAGTTTGAACGATCCGCTAGCGCCTGTGCCTTTGGGCTGGGCTAGTTTTCCGCTATCAACCCCGCGTTTTAAAGCGATCTTAAGGTGGGTGTTCATGCTGCCAGCATCAACCTTGTAGTTGGCTTGAATGTACTTGGCGATTGCCTGACGAGAAGAACCATTTCTTTCTTTCAAAGCACCGATGGCAGCAGTGATCATCTCAATGTAAGTTGGATGAGATGCTGGCTTTTTAGGAGCAGCCTTCTTAGCTTTGGTTTGTTCAGTCATTTTGTAAGGAACTGTTTACTAGCGACAATGACTTTAGACGTTACTTGAACTGTAAATGCCGAAGGTTAACAAATCAGCTAATTTGTATACGTTCAAAGCGGACCTGGTATGCAACACTTAATAGGATCGTTGTGAAGACATTGTTGCATTGGCGCGTATTTTCAAACTTCCATGCCAGGCGTATAGAAAATCATTATGATAGAAGAAAATCATTATAGTTCACATTACAATATTATTAGGTACTTTATATGGACTTTCATTACTTCAGTATAGGTTTTGTTAATTATGTATGTGTGTCTCAGGCCTGCTGCGTGTATGTGTGTGTCGTTTGTGAATGTTAATATGTATTTTATTTATTTTTTTGTTTTTGTTTAAGTCTAGAAAAAATTTCAACAGTGTAACACTTATAGCTGTCTGATCTTAATGAAATGGTGTTATAAGATGTCGGATTTTATGATATAAACAGTTTGGTGTATAAGTCTATGTGTTTTTCATGAAATGAAACACAAGACTGAGCTGACTGGCAGGGACACAAAAGTGAACTTAATCACTATAGGGCCTACTGTAACAAAATGTGTGTCCTTTATCAAACTAGTTTTAGGGCATGACATAGGAAAAATTATTAGATTATCACTATTCTTTGAAAAAAAAAATGATGAGCGAGGGCGGTTTTTTTTTTCTTTTTTTTAAAAATTGAGAACAATATATTATTTCGCTTTTGTTTTTATCGATGAGGGAGGGACTGTTTATATATGGCTAGTAATAGTAAATATTGTAAATAATAACTGGTTTAATTTTATAGTTTTTTAAAGAAAACATATTTGAAATCACAAAATTGCATTGTTATTTTTATGCTGTTGAAATAATTGATTAATTTTTTTTAATTCCTGCATCAATATTTCCCGAATTTTTGATGTAGGCGGGAATCTAATAAATTTTTCTATTTGCCCTTATGTATCGTTTGTAAACTTTGTGTTGTATATTGATTGTCCACTGGTGCAAAAAAAAATGGTAGTTCCAAATGAATTATAATGTCACTGTAATCAACGACAAAGGTACATGTTTTAAGAAACCAATACTATTAGTTACCAAATATTGTGTTTGATATATTAGAAAAATAGGCCTATCTGTACAGGTGAACCCAAAAAAGATTAATGTTTTGCACCATGCGTGTCTTGATATCTCTTTGTTCCTTCCTGTCCTTCTATTAAATGCATTATTAAATTTATTTTTAAGACTTGTTTTAAAAATATGAAAGTTGCTAAAGTTTGAAAATGTTAACTTCATAAATGTAAAAAGAAAAAAACAACAAATGAAATATATATAGCTTTTATGAATTTATTTATAAAAATAAATTTATTATAAAATGTAGTTTGAACTCCCTATAATTCTGAAACCACATATCATACTCAACAATCAACAGATACTGTATACATTTTAGACATGACAAGAATATTATATTGAAAATTGTATAATTATTCATATATTATTATTAATATAACCTTTTATTTTTTATGCTAGATAACCTGTTTAACGTTCCATCAATATTCCCGAATTTTTTACGTAGGCGGAAGTGATAATCTAATAAATTTTTCTATTTGCCCTTATGTATCGTTTGTAAACTTTGTGTTGTATATTTCCTTTCATTGATTGTCCACTGGTGCAAAAAAATTGGTAGTTCCAAATGAATTATAATGTCACTATAATCAACGACAAAGGTACATGTTTTATAACAGTACATGATTAGGCCCCATAAAAAAATATTAGTTTATCACCCCCTCCCTCATCACTTTTGAGGAGATTCTGATTTTTTCTGTTTTTTTTTTCAATCAACATATATTTTTTTTCAGACTGTCGTTTTTTCCATCTTTTTTTCACTTGAAAAGCTCAGGATTTCTTGCAAATATGTTGACTGGTACAACAAAAACATATATTTTAAATATAAATTTGATTCCATTCTTATAACTCTTTAGGGGTGAGGTTGGCAAAAAAAAAACCTCCCTTCCTCCCTCATCAGTTTTTATTCTTTGATAGGGTGATAAACTAATAATTTTTTTTTATGGGGCCTTACCATTATTTCGCTGAAACCCAGTTTCCAGATGTTCGTGTAGAGCAGAAGTGGGCATAAAAATTAGTCGGATGGCCAAATTGAACACCGAGGTCCGAACCCTAACTTTGATGTTTCCAGCGAGCTTCCAAAATCCTCCTACAACTGCTTTTACATCACTTTATTCTCAGTTTTAATGTTACCTCTTATGTATGATTGGTGTCGGGCGTTAAAAAAACAAGGTATTTTATAGCTATGATTGACGGACCGCAAACATAGGATTTATTTTTATTGTCGCGGTTTATAGTTGATGTTACTGTTACTTTAAAACGTATGTAATAAAAAAAAATGAAATACCATTAGGCAATCACAAAAAAGGCAAGCAATCTTTCTCTTCCGTTCAAATGGTGGCTCTGAAAAGAGCCGTTTGTTTTGCGGGAAGATGAACAGCTTATCCACCGAATCCGTACAGGGTTCGGCCTTGTCTCTTCAAGGCATAGACGACATCCATGGCGGTGACGGTCTTTCTCTTGGCGTGCTCGGTGTATGTGACAGCATCACGGATGACATTTTCAAGAAATACTTTCAACACACCACGGGTCTCTTCGTAGATGAGACCAGAGATACGCTTCACACCACCACGACGAGCAAGACGACGGATAGCTGGTTTGGTGATACCCTGGATGTTATCACGCAACACCTTACGATGACGCTTAGCGCCTCCTTTTCCAAGCCCTTTTCCTCCTTTACCGCGTCCAGACATAATTGTTTTCAACTATTGTTCGAAGGTAATTCGAAATGTGCTTGAAGTTTGCTGGCGTTGCATGACTTATTTAGTGTATGCGGACGTGGTATGATTACTAGCGTTTGTTTAAGTATGGACTTCGTAGGGGGAGTTTTGAAAGCAGTTTGTTGATTGCGAAAATTTATCAGCAAAATGTACTTGCCTTGGCTCTTTTTGAGAGGGAAAATTAGTAATTGTCTTCACAAACTCTGAACTATTAAATGTAAAATGAATTGAACAATGTAAAGTTTGCTTTACAAACCTTTCCTACATGTATGCTGTCAACATTGAAATTGGTTTATATCGTATATTCTTCGGTTGAAGTAAAAATAAACCAATACTATTAGTTACCAAACATTGTGTTTGATATATTAGAAAAATAGGCCTATCTGTACAGGTGAACCCAACAAATATTAAGGTTTTGCACCATGCATGTCTTGATATCTCTTTGTTCCTTCCTGTCCCTTCTATTAAATGCCTTATTAAATGTTAACTTCATGAATGTGAAAAAAAAAACAACAAATGAAATATATATAGCTTTTATGAATATATCAGGGGTTGTGGCAAACTTAAAGGGTTGAAACAGCACTTTAGTAAATTAAAATGTAGTTTGAACTCCCTATAAGTCTGAAACCACATATCCATCCATACTCAACAATCAACAGATACTGTATACTTTTTAACCATGACAAGAACATTATATTCAAAATTGTATAATTATTCATATATTATTATTAATATAACCTTTTATTTTTTATGCTAGATAACCGGTTTAACGTTCCCCAGTTTAAATAAAGAAATATATAAGTTATAAATATATACACGTTTAATTCTTTGTTATTTTATGGTAATAAATTATATCAAAACCATGGGTTTTAATAAAATTGATATAGTTGTTCGACAGATTGTCGTTGGCATGTTTTGATCATCATTTTAGGCCTAATTACAAAATGATGTTTATATTTTGTAGAATTAAAAAAAGTCTTTAGTAGTCTTATACAAAACCAAATATTAAAATTATTCATTTTGAAAATAATTCGAGTCTTTTTGCAAAACCAATTTCGAAAAGAATCCCATTTTAAAAAGAAACCCATCTAAATGGTCCTTCCAAAAGAAGCATGGTTTTTATTCAAGGATTTACGGTTTTTATTATATAGTAATAATATACAAATAATTATACAATTTTGAATGTATGCTATTGTAATGTTCTTAAAATGTATATACCGTATCTTTTGAGTTCAGCTACATTTTATATTACTAATATTATATACAATCAAAACGCTGTATACATTGTTTTTTTAAACAATGTTTAGTCCTCTAATAAATATATGTAGTTTGTTGAGAAAACACTGTAGCAACGTTATGGAAACTCTAAACGTTAGGCTCGTGTTACAATAGCTTAATGAATAATCGGACTATCATACAAAAAAACACACACATGTACGCACTTTAACGGCCTTGTTTAAAATCTCTTTTGTGTATTTGGTGGCTCTGAAAAGAGCCGTTTGGTTTGAGAAGATACAGTAGTTAAGTCTACTTGGTTTTGGCCTGGGTCTTCTTTGGCAGAAGTACAGCTTGGATATTTGGTAGTACACCTCCTTGTGCGATGGTCACACTTCCGAGAAGACGGTTCAACTCTTCATCGTTACGGATGGCAAGTTGAAGGTGACGGGGGATGATTCTGCTCTTTTTGTTATCACGGGCAGCGTTACCAGCCAACTCCAAGATTTCAGCAGTCAAGTACTCGAGTACGGCAGCCATGTAGACTGGGGCACCAGCACCGACACGAGATGCATAGTTACCCTTTCGCAAAAATCGGTGAACACGACCAACTGGGAATTGAAGTCCAGCACGGCTTGATCGGCTCTTGGCCTTTCCCTTAGCTTTTCCTCCTTTATTTTGAATCGGTTAGTTTTACACATCTAGATGTGTATAAGAGACAGCATTAGATCTAGAAGGGAGGAAACGTACATGGTCTAAAAATATGCACACAGGTTTCTGTAATTTATGTAAAAACGACACTATTGAAAGTACAGATCATTTTTTATTTCAATGTTCTCAACTAAGTAATATAAGAAACAAACATTTTGAAAATCTAAAAAATGAACTATTATATCACGGGTATACTTCATTTTGGAATGATTTTGATGAAGGAACTACCGAATTCAAACACCATATTTTACTCGACGATCTGTATTCAATATTTCCCAATGAAAACATTGGAAAAATTGTTGACTATCACTGTAAACAGTACCTAACTGCTTTATGGAAATATCGAACTAAATTATTAAATGAATTACCGCCCTCTATATAATATTTTTATTTATTTTTATTGTTATAAAAATATATACTGTATCTTCTTACTGTATTAATTATCGCCCCTACAGTATTTTTTTCAAACTCTTACCTTTTGTACGGATTTATTTAGATATTCGAACAGATCAAATTATTTTGCTCTGTATGCTGTATGTAATTATTATTGTTAGTTAAGATTAATTTTTTCATGCCTAAAAACAAAATTAAATGAGCAACTGGATTGATAGTATCAATCTAATTGCTTATTTAATTTAGTACTGAGTTTTCCTACTTTCAAGTATTCAAACTGTATTATATTTTGTTATCATTTTGTTTAGTTAAGTGTTATTACTATGTATGTTGTCTATATATAGTTAATAGAACGCACCGTCATATGACGTGTTGCCGCTGATCAAAAAGCGTTGTTCAATAAAGTGATTGATTGATTGATTGACAATGATACTTATCCAATGAATAGCCACGTTTATATAGCTTGCTCAAGTGTTGTGTTTGACTTCTAGCGCTCATTGGATTAACCAATCATAGACAGTCCCGCTTGCCTGAGCTTCCTCGTGAACCAATCGTCTGCTATCAACCATTCTATTGTACTATTTGGCGCGAATGTAAAGGATGTACTCCTAAATTTCAGGTACAGTATTATATTATATAATAAATATGCAGTAACGTTGTATTAATAAGTACAGTAATATTTGCAGTAACGTTGTATTAATAAGTACAGTAATTAACATAGTCAATCAAGTTTAGATTAAATAGAATACACTGCCTGGTATAAAATACATAGAAATTTGCTAAAATTAAGCAAAAATGTAAAGGATTGATTACTTCTATTTTTTTTTTTTCAGTTCGATACAAGCGGTATATTTTTTATAACTTTATATTCTTTCCTTTATCGATTCAGTGTTTTAATTTGATTCACGGTAATAGTATTTTTTTATTTTATCACAGGATATGACTATCATATATCCGTATTATATAAATATCAACCTAATTATAATGCCAAATAAAAGTAGTTAGTTTCACGTCCGGGATTTATACTTATTTTTTTTTAGTGAATTTGCTATTTACTATCATCCACCGTAAAACCTCGAGTAGAAGGCCTGTGCTTTTTTTTTTTTTGCGAACTTTGGATGGTCTTCTTTTCGAAGCAACTTTTCCAAAGTAAAGAGGGGGATTCTTTTCATAATGAATGCAGTAAATTTTGGGAATTATCACTATAAAACAAAAGGGCCACTATAATCAGTGTGTATCATGGAGTGTATTAATTAGCATTCATCTAAAATACTCTATAAACCGAGCGTGTTTTAAAAATATTTTTATTTCTTTGAAAAGAAGCACATGCTATCTTGGAATAGTTATGGGCTTCTTTTCGAGATTGGCTTCTATTCGAGGCTAATTTTGCAAACTAAATTTGAGATGGGTTTCTCGAGATTAAACCAAGTTGGCTTCTATTCAATGTGTCGGTGGTAAGCAGAGTGGTAAATAATAAAAAATGTTATTTCCATAAAACGAAAATCAAAAATTCAAACTTCTCATACCAGGCTATCACATAATCAAATTTACGATTATTTCGACAGTTGTGGGGTAATATGAAGGGTCTTCATTTTATACAACGAAACATAAAAAGACGTCTTAAAATGCAGATAAATATTATACCATTTCAACCCTAATTTATTTATTTAGAAAACAGTTCAGCAGTGACAGACCTTTCAATATACTTTTAAAACCTATAAAACAATTATCAATATATTAAATTAATAAATACTGTATTGGACACTTATGCAGGACACTTCTATGTATGTGTATATATGTATATATATATACACACACACACACATATATATATATATATATATATA